TATCTTACTCTTCATTTTCTACTAACTTCCACTCATTCTAAATTCCTTTTTCTCTCCATGCTGCTTTTAGATGAGCACAGCTCTCAGGATCGCGCTGTCTCCTGGCATGGCCGCTCCAGACCCGTCGCCATCTTAATCCCCTACTTAGGTAATTTATATATTATTATATTTGGGTTTAAAATTTCTATCTTACTCTTCATTTTCTACTAACTTCCACTCATTCTAAATTCCTTTTTCTCTCCATGCTGCTTTTAGATGTTTCATTATTCATTTTTCCCCTTTTTGGCTTGTATGTTCTTTCAGTATCCTTTTAGTAGTTAGCCTAGAGGTTACAACATGTGTCCTTGACTTAATACTTGACTTAATCCTAGAGTGTAACATCAATAGTTTTATCCCTTCCCCCAAAAAGTTGAGATCTTAAAATACCTTATTTGTCTTCTTCCACTCTTTCATATTGTCAGGTATTTTAATTTTATAGACATTTTAAGCCCTATACATTATTATTATTGCTTTATACAGTAATATTTATTTAAATTTACCCATGTTGATCATTATTCCTTCTTGCATTTCCATGTTCCCATCTGGGATCACTTTCATTCTGCCTAAGTTTAATGTAGGTTTTTATCTGTCTTAAAATGTCTTTATTTCATCTTTTTATTCCTTCTTGCATTTCCATGTTCCCATCTGGGATCACTTTCATTCTGCCTAAGTTTAATGTGGGTTTTTATCTGTCTTAAAATGTCTTTATTTCATCTTTTTAAAAAAAACAGCTTTATTGAGGTATAATTTACTTACCATAAAACTCACCCATTTTAAGTGTACAGTTCAATGGTTTTTAGTATATTAGGTTGTATAACCATCACCAATCATAATTTAAAATATTCCCATCACCCAAATAAGGTCCCTTGTGCCATTTGTCACCCATTTTAAGTGTACAGTTCAATGGTTTTTAGTATATTAGGTTGTATAACCATCACCAGTCATAATTTAAAATATTCCCATCACCCAAATAAGGTCCCTTGTGCCATTTGTAGTTTCTCTCTCTTCTCACCCCCAGTCCCTGGAAGTCATTAATCTGCTGTCTCTATAGATTTGTATTTTCTGAAAATTTTATATAAATGTAATCATACATTATGTGACCTCTTGCATCTGGTTTCTTTCATTTAGCATGTTGCAAAGATTCATACATGTTGCAGTATCAGTAGTTCATTCTCATTTATCATAGACTGTAAGTCCACATTTTGTTTACTCATTCACCTGTTGATAAAGGTTTGGATTGTTTCCATTCTTTGGCTGTTATGAGTAATTTGCATACAAGTCTTTGTGTGGACATGTTCTTGTTTCTCTTGGGTATATATATACACCTGGGAGTGGAAATGCAGGTTTATATAGTCAATTCTTATGTTTAACTTTTTAAGAAACTGATGAACCATTTTCCAAAGTTGCTGCACCACTTTCCATTTCTACTTGTATTGTATGAGGGTTCCAGCTTTTCCACATCCTCACCAAGTGTTCATTTGTGTCTTTTTGATTACAGCCTTTCTAGTGGGTGTGAAGAGGTGTCTCATTGTGGCTTTAGTTTGCATTTCCCTATGTTTAACATCTTTCCAAGTGTTTTTTATTTTGGCAGCTGGCTGATACAGGATTCCAAACCCTTGACCTTGGTGTTACAAGGTGGGTGCTCTAACCAACTAAGCTAACCAGCCAGCCCCTCCAAGTGCTTCTTGACGTGATGTCTTTCATCAGTTTTGGAAAAATTCTGAGTCATAATCACTATGAATATTGCTCTCCCTCAACCTATTCTTGGATTCCAATTACATGTATGTGAGACTTTCGTACCATGTCTGATATGCACCTTAAGCTTCTTAATATACATATTTCTCTTTGTACGTTAGTGTGGACATTTTCTATTTATCTACCCTCAAATTCACTAATCCTTCTTCAGCTGTGTGTAATTTGTCATTAACCCCATACAAAAAATTCTCTATTTTTTGGTTCTATAATTCCCATTTGATTCTTTATAGACTCCAGTTCTTTGCTAATATATTCAATTCCATTTTTTCTTTTCTTGCATGTATTTATCCTATTTTGAAGTTCATGTCCAATGTAAACCAAGTGTGTGGATTCCTTATAGGTCTGTTTCTCTCTTGGTCCTATTTCATAGTATGCTTGGTAATTTTTGAAAGCACGCCAGATTGTGTGTAGAAGCTGTGAATGAAATTATACTCTTCCAGTGAGGACTCACCCTATCCTCTGGCAAATTAGAGCAGGGATACCTCAATCCATTCCAAAATTGAGCTTACTCAAGGCTGGGCTTCAGATTTTATAAAGCTCGCTCTACCTCTGGTTTACCTCGACTCCAAGGTGTAGCCTTCCAGAGGTCACAATGAGATAGCCCAGAGTGTTTTTGGAGACCTTCCTTAAGTCCTTAATTTCAAATTTTGTTTTTCTAGTATTTTCTGACTGTTGAATGTTCTGCTTCACTGATTAGCTTTTTTATTTTTTAAAGTTTCTCATATCATACAATAAAAATTGGTAAATGCCTGAGAAGAAAACCAGCATAGTGTAAAAGGTCTCTTCTCTACACGTCCCTTCTCCCAGGGTCTCTGCCCCTCAAATCCTGGCTACTGTAGAAGCTGTCCAATGACTTGAAGCAGATGTTGCATGCATTCTGTTCAGTTTTTTGTTTTCATTGGCAAAGCAGTACATGCTAATCTGTCACAACTCAAAGTGGAAGTATTATAACAAGTTATTTTTGAACCCAAATTCTAAATACTAGCTCTGACAGTATATTTTTATTGATTAACTTGTCTTGAAAAGAACCCAACAGTATATAATGCATTTAATACATCACCTTTATTGAAAAGAGCTTCATAACATGTAGTTGAGGTTGTGCTGAAAAATTGAGGCCTTCTGGTTACACCTGTGTAATTCTCCACCTACCCATACAAGTTGTTATTTCTACTTTATAAAACAATTGGTCTTAGTGAATTGGAATTCCAGGATATAATTGGCTGGGGCCTATGTACATCTGGGTAGAATTTTTAAAGTTAATATTGGTTTTTCACTTTGACAGATACGATTGACTCCGTAGCATTTCAATGAAAACACCAAACACCAACAAACTGTCAGTGAAGAAAATAATATTGCATCTTGTTCCCCCACTTTCCATGCCAGGCATTCTCTCTAGGCCACAAATCTTTGGGCTCAGACCTACCCACACTTAAGTGCTGTACATTCTCATGGTAGGAAGTGATGGGGAACTCTTTCCTCAGTTTGTATGGCACAACTGAACCTTTAAAATCTATAATCCTGGCTTGGATGTGAATCTTTATGTTACTCAGTCCCCAGGGACTGACTACTACTGTTGTCTGCCTACTCAGATGTCTTAGCCACCGCCTGCGCTGGCTTGCCACAGCAACTGCAAGTGCAGGCCAGCATTCTTCTGGTCCCAGGCCTTCTGTTCTACTCTAAACCTTAACTTCAGAGGCACGTTCTTTTAGCTCTGAACATACCCCTGCTTAGCATTCATCAGGCCTCATTCTTTAAAGTTGGAAATAGAAGTGTCAACCCCATTTTACCATTTAAAAGGTTTGGTATGTATTAAATATGAATTATTATTTGTTATATATTTAGGAAGAACCATATGACTACATAAACAGTGAAAGTTCTTTACTTTTTACACATAACTGAGTCTTTTCCTCAGAATTCAAAGTCCAAGAAGAATGCACTTTGTTAGACCTATTCTTTAAAGGAGAAGACATCAAATTAGAGAGAAAATTAACTATTGAGTTTAAACCTATGAGAGGTCTTCCTCTACCTGTCATTCATTTTTAGTGACCTGGGGCTTGTTTTGATATCTAAAAGCCAAATCAAAACAAAGAAGCAATAGTTACTCCATCCTTCAATCTACTGTCCTTTCTAGAGAGAGGGACTTTGGTGAACCCAGGTTGCTACACCAATGACATTCTGCTATATTAACACCAAAATGATTGAAGTCACATTCATGAATTACACAAGAAATAATAGTTCATGAACTGATAGCTCCTCCACTCTACCAAGTTAGGGTTGGGTGTCATAAACCAAACTAATTTTTATTTCATTTTATTTTATTTAGGGCCCTCAATTCTTTCTTTTTTTAAATTAGCATATTCATTGTTACAAATCATACACATTCTTTATGCTCCTTATCCAATCTCTTCCCTTCCTCCTCCCCCTCTCTCCTTACCCCACCTCTTCCCCTCAAACTAATTTTTACTTCCTGGTAAAGGTCACACTTAATAGGAAGACAATCTATAATTAGAATTCTCCCATTAGGTAGAGAGCAAAGACTTTTCTTACACTGAATCTCCCCATACCTTGTACAGCACTAGGCATAGAACAGGCACTCAGTGTTTGAGAATGAATGAACTAACAGTCTGCCTCTTCTTTTATAACACTGAATATCATGCTAGGAAAACAAGAATGTCACTTTTAATTTACTTACCAAACTGTAAGAGTGGCATTGAGAACACTTCTAAATCATGAGCATTAATTTGAGAACAGTCAGGAAAGTGCACTCTCTGGGACGCCTGCCTCTTTTTGTGTCCTCCTGTGCAATCAGAGCCAAGTTACAACTTTTCCAGGCCTAGGTTTACCCATCTCTTAAGCTTACGGAATTTACCCCTTTTAAAATTGTATAAATGAGGGCTGGCTGGTTAGCTCAGTCAGAGAGCGGTATTATAATACCAAGGTCTAAGGGTTCAGATCCCCATACCAGCCAGCCACCAAAAAAAGAAAGGCAAAATAAAATTCTGTAAATTACCACCTATCTTACAAACCTAGATTACCTGTGGCAGATGGCATATTTAAGGAATTTACCTTTAAAAAACCTTTTTATAATCCTTTTAAAGAAATGCAACAAGAGCCCTACACAACGTCCATTTGAAATGGAATCACAAAGACTGGCTCTGTCTGTGTTGCAGCCACAGTTGCAGAAAGGAATGTCAGGCAGCAGGAAATGGATTTTGTTTCCATCACTCTGCATGGCTACACATGAAACATTTTTATTCCAACTTTAAAAACTCTGAGTTAAGGTAAACAAAACAGGAAATTATATAATCTTCATTAAGTTTCCATTGGTGTTTCTGAGCTCCTGCTCCCAAAAGGGCCCCTGATAGATGAATTTCTTGTATTGCCGAGAACAAGCCTCTCTCGTCTTCCAAATGCTTCATTTACTAAAACACAAATAGTTAAGAAACTATCAGATTAGGAAATTAAGAGTCTATAATATAAAAGGAGACTAAAATGTAGAAATGAGCAGTGAAGTTCTCTAGGGTGGAAATTTTGTTCATGAAAATATGTAACAGTTTGTAAATGGGAAAGTAACAACTCAGAAGTCCAAGATAATGTTCTGAATGAACTGAATCATTTTTAAAATGGTCCACTTTTTTTTTTTAACTTTCTTCGTCTTGTCCTGTACTTATCTAATCCACCTTGATGACAGATGTCCCATTACTTATAACAGTGACTCTATCCTTCTCTTATTCTACTTCTGATTGTTTCCTATTTTCTTTCTTTCATCTTTCTCTGTATCATGACCAGCACAGAACTTTTTGGATTTAGGACACACACACGACACACACACACACACGAGACACACGCACACACACGACACACGCACACACACACACACACGACACGCACACACACACACACACACGCACACACACACTCAGAATAACCCAGAGAGAAATCTCAGGATCCTTCCTCTGCATGGGAGGAAGGATTCAGGAATCATATAGTGGGGATATATGAAGGTACTTGAAAAAGTTCTTAGATAAACAGAATGGAAAGATAATATAAATCTTTCCATGAACTTTTTGAAGTACCCTCATATTATGTCTGTTTACAGGACACACCATACTACTTCAAAGTAATAAATAAGCAGGCAGGATCCCAAAGCTGGATTTTGTAGAAATTAGTTGAGAAATGGGCAGATTTATTCACACTGGTAACTGAGAAGGGGACGGTTGTACTTTCAGGCCATGCTACATTTACTTCAGGTTTCCCAGAAGATTTTTCAATCTTAAGATATTTTTAAAATGATGCACACTTAAAGTGTGAAGACAAACTTACTAGTGAACATGAACGTTTCCAAATTACATTTGATTCTGTTTATCTGCTACACAGACTACTGTATCTTTGCTATCTCTACCTAATGTATTCAAGTCACATATTCTGTTAGTCCTTATAGAACTCATTCACAAAGAGCAGGAAACTAAAGATGCTTACCTGAAGAGACTGTGCTTATATCCCAGACCCGAAGCCCTTCCTTCTGACCTCCAAAGGCATAAATAAATGGCAAATCAGGGCAACATGCAGAACAGAAGAGAACTCCCTGGGGAGAAAAGAACAGAAAGTCAGTGATTTCGATCTTTCCAGAGAGCCCTATTGTCTGGATCTCTACTCTTGTCTCTAAGAACCTATGGTTTCTGACCACTTGGGTCTTTCACCTTCATTATCATTCTGTCTTCTAGAGGTTTCCTAATAAATCTAATCTGCTGTGTATTCCCAGAAACTTAGTCTTTCTTTTTAAACAATGATACCAGAGGTCACTGTTAAGTTATTTTTAAGCTTTTAATGGTTTTTTTTTTTACATTTTTATTACTAGATAATACATATGCATTATAGAAAATATGAACAAGAAAAAATATAAAATTCTCTTGGTGAGATAACTAATGTTCATGTTTTGGAATATAATCCACTGGATTTAAATATAAGCATTTAAGCAATTATGCGTTTAAACATAAGCATGGGATAGTACCATAAAAACTGCTTCTGTAACCTGTCTTTCCAAAAGTAAATACACATACACAATTTTGAACAGCTGTGTGGTGTTCTACTATAACTCAGTCCCTGGCATACAGTAGGTGCTCAAAAATATTTGCAGAATGAATTCCAGTAATTTCTAAATTTTTTGCTACTATACAGTAATCAGTTTCAGTGTAGTCGGAAATAGTTATGCAAAGAGGTAGTGATAGATAAACTGACCTCAAAAGCTACAGTGCCCTGAGGTTTAAGATTTCCTGGTAGTGGTCCTGATTTTAGGGTAAAAAAATGTGGCCACTTTACTTGTGTCCTAGAAAACCCTCTCCTCATCTTGGTCTTACCAAGCAACTGTCAATCCTGTGAGCTGGAAAAGGAACCAGGTAGTCACCAAATTCCTCCCAAATTGTTCTAAGTTATAAAACTCCCACCAAATTTGAATAAGCTCAAAATTAACTCCCCCAACGCATCCGTATTTTTTTTTTCCTTTTTGTCTTTTTTCGTGTCCAGCAACGGATCGCATCCCTCAGTGTCGTGTCCGTACCGGACCGGGACCGGCAACGGGATCGCAACCCTTGGCGCTGCGCCCGCACCTCGCTCAGCCAGTGAGCGGGAACCGGTCTGTATGTGGGATCCGAACCCTCGGCGGGAGTGCCACCGCGCTCCCAAGCGGAGCACTGTAGCAGTGCGCCACTGGGCCGGCCCCATCCGTATTTTTTAATGCAATGATTCCAAAAGAAAGACAAGCAATAAAGGTCAGAAACAGAATAAACAGTGGGCCGGCCCGTGGCTCACTTGGGAGAGTGTGGTGCTGATGACACCAGGGCCACGGGTTCGGATCCCATATAAGGATGGCCGGTTAGCTCACTGGGTGAGCGTGGTGCTGACAACACCAAGTCAAGGGTTAAGATCCCCTTACCTGTCATCTTTAAAAAAAAAAAAAAAAAAAAAGAAAGAAAGAAAGAAAAAAACAGAATAAACAGAAAACAAAGACATTCATGGACATTCTTACCATCTTCATGTCCCTAGAATGAACTAAACTTGGCCTATCTCCTAATATGTCCCAGATCTTCACATATTTGTCTGCTGAAGCGGTCACAAGACAGCCTTTGATTTGACTGCTTAGATCAAGACCTAAAGGAAGATGAGATTAGTTCAGAGACTCTCACTTTGAGATATAGGTTTTCTTCATCATAAATTTATAGAAATGAAAGAAACATTATTCTTGCTCACCAGAGATTTCATCATTGTGTGCATTAAGTGTAAAAATTGGCTTATCTAAACGTGCATCCAAATTATATACAAAGCCGTCATCCGTACTGGCCTGGAAAGAGTAAAAGATGGGAAAGATCATACTACATGACAATAAAATTTAGCAATGAGTAAATAGTATAAATCATAGTAAAAACATCTATATTATCTGACTTACCTCCAGAGCTTATTAAAAATTATCATGGACATAAAGAATTTACTTTTGGATGGGTTGAGTTTGCACTCACACGGACTAATTCAGCTGACAGGTCCACTAGGCAGTTGGACATGTGTATGAAGTGGTGGTGAGTGGTATGAAAGCAGTTAGAGATGAGAAGCACAGAGGTGGTAGTTACATCCACGACAGCAGAGGCCTGGGGGGCACAGGTACTCAAGGCACAGGTGAGGAGGGGCCCCCTACAGAGGACAGAGTCACAGAAGGAGGAGGACATAAGGAAGAATGTCAGGGAAGCCAAGGGAACAGCTTCTGGAGAATGGCAGAGAAATGGAATCAGACACAGATGGAAAGCCAGACAACAGTGTGTTGTTAAACTTTCAAGAAAGGGAGAAGAGGGGCTGCCCAGTTAGCTCAGTTGGTTAGTGTGGTGCTGATAACACCAAGGTGCAGCAAAAACCAAACAAACAAACAAACAAAAAACAAGAAAGGGAGAGGAAATGAAGGAATTAAGAGACAGACATGTCAAGGATGGGAGAGAGAGACCTAAGCCTATATACGGGTGGAGGGGAAGAGCTAGCACAGGAACACAGGAGAAGGAAAGGACAACTGAGGCAGTGTGGAAAGCTGGCATGGGGCCAGAACATAAGAGGAGGGAGGGAAGGAGGGGAGCCCTTTTATCACCTCCCACTTCCCTAAATATTTGTGATTTTTATATCCATGCCACATATTTGTTAGTAAATAACCTCAGGAAATATATGTGCCTGACTATTGAGAGCCCAAGTACAATACAACATTCAAATGCGACTGGGACTTCACTCCTCATAACTGTAAAATGGAATCTGGCTTTCAGCGGCTTGGCTGGGAATATAGCATGTGGAACTACTAAGGGCGCAGAGAGTTGAGAGTAGGTGTTTCAGAACCATTCCCTCAGGAACCTTATAAAATTGTCTACATCTTTTAAGAAAGCTGTTTTTAAGAAACTCTCTCCTTTGCATAGCACTACATATTTACTTTAGGAAAACTGGGAAATACATGGACATATCATAATTTCTTTAATCCTTCTGGATGAAAGCTAAGACTTTATTTCTCTATGTATTGAAATGTCAGTGGAATCTTTGTTGCTATGTGGAAAATTGTCATCCTACAGACAATAAGAGTATTCACTTTTTTCCTACTTGGAATACAGTGCTATTAATTAAATAGGCTAGGATTCTCTTCACTAGAGCTCCATTCAATAAAGAGGATTTAAATAAAGAATTTCTTCTTGGACTGATTTAGCCATTAAAAAAACATTAAAAAGAATCTTAACTATGTTTAATATTTCAAAAACACACTATAATAAAATGATCAAAATCAGTAAGTGAAAGAAAATGTGGCACACTTTGGAATGGTTGGCAATTAAAATTGTTTAAATGTTCACTAATTTTTGATGGCTGAGCCATTTGCTTGTTAAAAGCAAACAAACAAATAAAACCCCTTATTTTGCAACCCTAAAATCCAAATACTTCACACTGTTAATATAGGAAAAGCTTTCCCAAAATTCTTTCTAGAATGGAATTAAAAAAAAAAAGTTATTAGTAACCTGGAAAAGCAAAACAGTAACATGTATACTCTTACCAAAAAATGACAAGGTGAAAAGTGATTCCAAGTCACTCTCTCAATCTGCCCACTGAACCGCCAGATTCGATGGCTTTCATCTGGACTTCGGCAGTCATACAAAGCCACCGACCTGGAAACATTCAGGCAAAGTTAGGGTTTTAAGAGTTCAATTCTCTATATTTATTTATAATGAAATGGTAATAAAACAACATTATGCAGTCGAGATTCAATTATTGAAAAGCTACTTTAAGTTTCTAAAACAACATAAAAAAATGAGTTGAGTTTCACTAATTGGTGGATTCTGGTCCTGTCACTTCAAGGCACTGGTGGCTTGACTTTCTCCAAGTCAAGTCCTCCATTTACAAGACAAATCCTCTCTATTTCTGAAGTCTGGGACAATTTCTAATTTCCCCTTTCCTGGTAGAGTTCAGAGCCAAATAACTCATGGCTTAGCCATACTTGCTCTCCACAGGCAGGTTACTGTGTGGGAGAATCAAGGGCTACACTTCATCTGCATGAATCACAACTAAAAAAGGTAAACATATTACTCTTTGAAAGGATAAGGAACCAAAGTAAGGACTGCAGGTTCGTTTCTGCTTCTACTAGCTGTCTCTCCCACCTACAGACCCAATCTGTAAAAACGGAGCCCAGTTATGACTAGAAACCCCCAGCTGACTGTAGTGGCCTCAGTTCTTCACCTCTCCTATATCTATGCCCTCTGTCATGTGACATGGGAATTCTTCCCATGAAGACAGAGTATATCTCCCCACTCCATGTGACCTGTCTTGGCCAAAGAGAACAAGGCCAAGTGTACTAGTTCTGAGCCTACATTCAAGAGGCCACAGTATCTCTGCTTGGGCTTCTGACCTCGCCTGCTGGTCTCAGGAGGATGTGAAACACAAGGAGGTGAGCCAAACCTCCCTGGCACAGCTGAAATAAGCCAGTATGAGCACAGCTGCCAGATGAATCCAGCCAATGTTAGCCCAACCTCACAGAGGTGTAAGAAATAAATGCTTTTTGTTTCAAGCCACTGGTATTTTGGGATGGTTTGTTTCACAGCAACAGCTAACTCATAAACACTCTATAAATCCAAGAAGTTGCTACTTCCTATAGTTACATTATTATTATAGAGCCACATTTCCTTGCAGACTGAATGAACCAGAGTTGAAAAGAAAAAATCAATAATGTTAACAATTTAAAAATGTAGGTGATATATTCTCAGTAATACATTCTGTCTGGGCATCAAGTGATACTTTCTGAATTAGTTTAAGAGGATAAAAACAGAGCAGCAATAATTCTTAAAAGTGTTTTCTTACTTATCATATGATCCAGAAATCAGAGTCTGTGCTTCAAATGGATGAAACTGCAGAGTCTGGACCTAAAGAAAGGAAACATAAATGAAAAGACCTATGTTTGTTTGCTTTTGGTAAAATTACTTAGTATGTGGCAAGAACCGATTTGGCAGTGTTCTATAAATTCTTCCCTTTGAAATTCAGTATTATTTAAAGAATCACAAATGTATCACATAATCAGAATGGCAAACCATATTCCCAAATAAAGGCTGGCACTTAAAGACATAATGCAGCACACTCCTCCAACTGTGTTCAGCAGAATACTTATGTTCCTCAAATGTCAAAAGATATTCAGAAAATAGGTGAGTGTTCAAACATACCTGGGCAACTCCACATGCTCCCACAATGTGCATTAGCACATTAGATCCCTGAGGAGTTCTACAGTAATGGCTCTGTCAAATTCTTTAACATTATTGTGACTGACACCTCCCATCCCTTTTAGCAGCCTCTGTAAATATGACACCAACGTTCCTAGTGACTAAAGGTGGTCCCCGACTTAATGATGGTTTGATTTACAATTTTCCGAATTTATGATAGTGCAAAACCATCACAATTTCGACATAATGTACAATATATTCAATAAATTACATGAGACATTCAACGCTTTGAAGGAGGCTTTGTGCCCAACTGGTGGCTAATGTTAAGTGCTCTGAGCACATTTAAGGTAGGCTAGGCTAAGCTGTGGTGTTCGGTACATGAGGTGTATTAAATGCACTTTCACTTAGGATACTTTCAACTTATGATGGGTTTATCAGGACTACCCTGGGGTGAGTCGAGGACTATCTGTACACCTTTATGCACCCATTTCTGCATCTCTAAGATGGGTGCTGTGCCTATCACACAGAGCTTTGTGAAAATCCAATGAGATAACATGTGAAAGTACTTTGTAAAACACAAAAAAACCATATGTAAATGTTTGTGATTATCTTTAGCCAATATCTTCCCAGATTTTTTAGAATCCCTTTTATTCACCAAATCACCATACCTTGTCTGTGTGTACAGCAAGGTTAACTGCTGGTTTCCCTAAGCACATGTCCCACAGAATCACAGTGTGGTCAGCTGATGCACTTGCCAGCACACTTCTGAGAAATGAAAGAAACGTCAGGTAATCTTTTATTAAAAGTCAAGAGCATTAAATATTAAAAAAGGATTCTATTTACAGTAACATCAAAAAGAACAAAATACTTAGAAATTAAAGAGTATCTAAATAAGTGGAAAGACACCTCATATTCGTGTATTGGAAGACTTAATATTGCTCAGATGAAAACACTGCATCTACAAACTGAACTACAAAATGATTTACATGTTCAACCAATTGCTTTCAAAATCCCAGCTGACTTTTTTTTGGCAGAAACTGACAAGCTGATTCTAAAATTCATATGAAAATGCAAGGGACACAGAATAGCCAAAATAATCTTAAAAAAGAAGAACAAGACTGGAAAGCTCACACTTCCTCATATCAAAACTACTGAGAAGCTACAGTAATCACGATATTGTGGTAATAGCATAAGGACAGACATACAGATTAATGGAAGAGAATTAAGAGTCCAGAAATAAACCCTTATATTTATGGTCATTGATTTTTGACAAGGATGACAAGACAATAGCTTGTTTAATGGGGGAAAGAACAGTCATTTCAACAAATGGGTCAGGAACAACTAAATATCCTTAAGCAAAAGAATGAAGTTGAACCCCTATCTCATACCATACACAAAAAACCCCCCTCAAAATTGATCAAAGATTTAAATGTAAGAGCTAATACTATAAAACTGTCAGAATAAAACAGGTATAAATATTCATGACCTTAGGGTTAGCTGTGGTTTCACAGATACAACACCAAAAGCAAAAACAACAAAAGAAATAAAGTATACATCATCGACAAGAAAAACTTGTCCTGCAAATGATACCATGAAGAAAGTGAAGACAACCCACAGAATGGGAGAAAATATTTGCAAATCATGTATCTGATAAGGGGTTAATATCCAGAATATAGAAAGAACTCCTACACTCAACATCAAACACAATTAAAAATTGGGCAAACAACTTGAAGACATTTCTCTCAAAGAAGATACACAAATGGCCAATAAGCACAAAGATGCTCAACATCACTAATCATTAAGAAATGTAAATCAAAGCCACAATGAGATACCATTTCACACCCATTAGGATGGCTATTAAAAAAATATAGAAAATAACAAATGTTGGGCGGATATGGAGAAACTGGAAATCTTGGGTGCACTGCTCATGGGAATGTAATTTTGCAGACGATGTGGAAAGCAGTACGGTGGTTCCACAAAAAATTAAACGTAGAATTATCAAAAGATCCAGCAATAACACTTCTGGGTACATACCCAAAAGAAGTGAAAGCAGGGACCTGAACAGATATTTGTACACCCATGTTCATAGCAGCATTATTCACAATAGCCAAAAGGTGGAAGCAACCCAAGTGTCAATCGATGGATCGATGGATAAACAAAATGTGGTACATACACACAATGGAATATTATTCAGCCTTAAAAAGAAAGAAAACTATGATGCATATTGCACCATGGATAAACCTTGAAAACATGCTTAGTGAAATAAGCCAGTCACAAAGAGACAAATACTGTATGATTCTACTCATATGAAGTACAGAACAGTCAAACTGGAGTGAAAATGGAATGGTGGTTGCTGGGGAGGGGCTATGGGGAGTTGGTTTACCTTCTGTAAAGGGTACAGAGTTTTAGTTTGAGTAGATGAAAAAGTTCTGGAGATGGAAGGTAGTGATGATTGCACATCAATGTGAATGTACTGAAAGCCACTGAATGTATACTTGAAAACAGTTAAAGTGGTAAATTTTATGTTATATGTATTTTACCATAATTGAAAGAAAAAAGAATAAAAGAGTATGTGGATGAGATGTGAAAACTAAATAAAGTACGAAAAACGTCTTCTGGGAAGAAACACAATGCCACCACAACACTGGCACTGCAGTACACACTGTTTTTTTCTAGTGGTGGTGACAAGGAGGGCACGTGGTGCACCTACAGTGAGAAGCTGGCAGGTGCTGTGGGGGATGCAAATATGCAGCCAGCAGAGCTCCTGCTTTCACACAGCATATACTGCAGGAAAGGAAGATAAGATGAACATGAAGGCCAGGCCCACAACACATGAGGCATAGAGAATGGAGTAGGCACGAGGTAAAATCACAATGGTTACAGTCTTTCACAATCATCCAAATGTTATTTCTTTTTACCTGATTAACTTATTCCACGAGAGGTCAAGGACAGCATCGGTATGCCCTTCTGCTGAGGAACTCTGTAATAATTGCTTTAATTACTTTTTGTATTAAAGATCTCCCATCATAAAACTGATGTTAATTTGTAAGATTCTTTAAACCTTAAGATTATTGTTTTGACACTATGCAGACTTGCTTGAAGAACTAAAGGAAAAAAACTGTCTACTCTAGATTTTTAATTTTTAGTGGCTGGCCAGTATGGGGGATCTGAATCCTTGACTTTGGTGTTACCAGTGCCATATTCTCCCAAGTGAGCTAATCAGCCAGCCCCCAAACTTTGTCTCCTTTAGATACCCATGATAAACAAAAAACCTAACAGTTTAAAAAGCTACGGGAATTAATACATAGATATTTAGAATTCAACACACTAATAAAGGCTAAATAGAAATTTTTTAAAAGTTCAAAACTAGCATGTTAGTATGAATAGCTACTATATCCTCGTATGGGGGAGGATCATAACCTGACAGTCATTTGTTTGTTTGTTTGTTTTTTTGTCTTTTTCCGTGTCCGGCAACGGATCGCAACCCTCAGTGTTGCCCCCGTACCGGACCGGGGACCGGCAACGGGATTGCAACCCTCGGTGTTGCTCCCGCGCCTCGCTCAGCCAGTGAGCGGGAACCGGTCTGTATGTGGGATCCGAACCCTCGGGCGGGAGCGCCGCCACGCTTCCCAAGCGGCGCACTAGTGCAGTGCACCACCGGGCCGGCCCAACAGTCATTTGTTTTATGTGAGAAAGAATAACATGACAATGGAGGTTTCATGTAATCAGAAATAAGTTTCCCCTGGACAGCTTTTTCAAAACTAGAAATTACAACAACTTCCTAACTACTTATTCTGTCCCACCAAGAATATCTGATTGGAGAAGTGCATGTTCTTATCTCACCCCTTATTTACTCCAAGTAAACTTGTTTCCATTTGTCATTAGAGTTTGAGTATCTATTAATTTCCTTACCTTCTTTCCTTTCTTTTTCTTCTTTTTTGAAAGTTTACTTCCAAGTGTGAAGACTGGCTCTAAAGAGTCCACTATATCAAGGTCCCATACTTCAATAACGGGGGTCATGTTTCCCACAGCAATATAACTTCCTACAGAAGGAAACGATGCACATGATTAAAAAGAAAATACATAAATAACCTCTCACCAAATATACTGCATTGTAGATTAACTGAGGAATGGCAGAGAGAAGTGCTTCGGAAACTTATATATGCATATGCATCATCTGAATGTTGTTAAAATGCAGACTGTATTTCAGGTGGCCTTGGGCGGGCCCCAAGCCTGCATTCTAACCAGCCCATCGGTGATGGCAATGCTGTGCTATGGGTCTTTGGACCACAATTTGAGTAACAAAGGCTCAATCTCTTGGCCCCAGTATCCTCACTTATATAATGAGTAGCCCCCACCCACCTCCCTCCTTCACAGGCTGTTGTGAGGATAATGATCAAATCATGAGTGTGAACAAGCTTTGCAAACAAGATGTAGCTGTCATTATTATCAGCGTTTATCTTTATTAAGAAGTACAAATGGGCTGGCCATTTGCTCACTTGGTTAGAGCATGGTGATGGTAACACCAAGGTCAAGGGTTCAGATCCCCTTACCAGCCAGCCTCAAAAAAAAAAAAAAAAAGAAAGAAGAAAAGAACAAACAGGGGCAACCAATACTGTGTAAGATGTGGCTAAAAAGACTAACATGACAATTTAATTATGTGTGACAAGCCTCTTCATTTCAGTTTCCTCTGATGTTTTCTGAAACAGGTTATGCCATTAAAATCCAGCTGGTAACATTGGACACATAATGCCATTTTATACTGGTTTTTTATGTGATCTTAACAGTTCTACAGCCCAAAGGGCTTTCAGGCCATGTCCTTCAGCCTACAGCGGAGCAGCTACCTCCTTAGCCTATCTAAAGTCTGGAGATACACAGACTCCAAATGATAAAGTGATGGTGTATTAAGAACTATATAAGTATCACTTCATAAAATACCAGTAACTTCATAAAATACTAACAATTCTGAAAATATCCATACAGAATACATAATTTACATAGCTAGGAAAAACCACACAAGACTAGGAATCATTGTGTAATCTTAAGTTTTCCAATTACCAGTAGAATCATCTGGGCTGGGATCAAAACTCAGCCATTCCACACTCAGAGGATATGCAGACAAAAGTATATCATGGTGTACATAAAAAGAATCTTCTTCTTGATTATAAACTGAAAAGATTGGAAAAAGAGACTTTATTACATTAGAATAAGAGTCATCAGTAACAACATCTCACTCAAAACAACAGACTCTCCTTATTAAAGCAATGGGAACCATAATGCTTACAGTGAATGCACTTGATGACATTAAAAGGAGATTCTAAAGTCATTACTACTAGGCAAAAATTCTTAATGTCTAATATATTCCCATTGTCTGGCATGCCCCAGAGGGGAACATGAGTACTGACAGATACTCCATCTGCATGCTTACTAGAGAAATGGTCCTGCCATCTAGTTCACTCATTAGAAAAAGCAAACAGTCATAAAGTGTCCACAAACAGTACTTATAATTTTATGTTCTACAGGTCTGATTATAAGTCAAAAAGAATAAAAAACAGCATTGAAGAGAAATAATTCATATTTAGAAATCTAAATGCTTGTCAAAAATTACTCTTTAAATTAATATTTCAAGAAAGTTTATAAAGACCAACAATGTAAACAAAGCTTTTAAAGACACCCTTTTGGAATACAGCAACTAACAGAATTAGCTAACATTCACAGTTATAATGTTAAGAAGCAAAAATCAATGACTAAGAAATCTTTTAAAAATTATACAGTGAAACACTGATAAAATAAAGCCCAATAATCAGAATCTGCCTCCCATATGTTTTTTGTTAAGAAAAAAAAAAAAAAATTGATGGGGGATGGCTTGTTAGATCACTGGGTGAGCATGGTGCTGACAACCTCAAGTCAAGGGTTAAGATCCCCTTACCAGTCATCTGGGAAAAAAAAAAAAAAAGATAAAATAAACTAAGGATTTTTGTAATCCCTCAGACCTCTGCTCCTGGGATATATCCTGGGATTAGCAGATTCCGTGTAATGTTCTATCCCATCAGTCTACGATGAGAATGCATGTTCAAAATGCTTAGACTGTGATCCTGTAAAACCTCAGCCAGGAAACTGATAGGCTGTAGAATTTAACTATGTAACCAGCTTAAATGAGGTACAGCAAGATATGGCACCTAAAAATTCGTAACAGTAACTTACAGTTTTTATTTTAATATCACTTAGAAAACCTTTTAGTAAGGGATTTATTTCACTTACCATGCACCTCTAAATTGCACTGGTCCTTTTCAGCTCGGCCACAAACAATGAGATTGTCACTGGGCTTAATCAAGAAATCATCACGTTCATACTGTTCCTAAGTGCAGAGAAAGTCATTGGCTAGAAGCTGATATCCAGTAAGGCTTTCCAGACACTTAAGACTATAATTAGAAAGTGATGTAAATATTTACCGTATCTTTCAGAGTAACATAAGGATCTTGATCATTACTCCCATACACTGTAAGACCCAACAGAGATTCACCAAGAGTCTCAGCATCTGCAATAAGAATTCATAAACTGAAATGAGTACAACCATACCTTGTTTTATTGTGCTTCATTTAATTGTGCTCTGCAGATACTGTATTTCCAACAAATTGAAGATCTGCGGAAACCCTACATTGAGCAAGTCTATTGTCACCATTTTCCCAACAGCATGTGCTCTCTTCTTGTCTGTGTCACATTTTGATAATTCTTACAATATTTCAGACTTTCTCATTATTATTATACCTGTTACGGTGATCTGTTATCAGTGATCTTTCATGTTACTATTGTAACTATTTTGGGGTGCCATGAACCACACCTATATTATAACCACAAACTTAAATATTATATGTGCTCTGACTGCTCCTCTGATGGGCTGTTCCCCAGTCTCTCTCCCTCTCCTGGGACCTCCCTATTCCCTGAGACACAACAATACTGAAATTAAGCTAATTAATAACCCTACAATGGCCTTGTAGTGTTCAAGTGGAAGAAAAAGTTGCATGTCTCTCATTTTAAACCAAAAGCTAGAAATGATTAAGCTTAGTGAGGAAGGCATGTTGAAAGCCAAGATAAGCCAAAAGCTAGGTCTCTTGCACCCAACAGTTTGCCGAGTTGTGAATGCACAGGAAAAGTTTTTGAAGGAAATTACAAGTGCTAATCCAGTGAACACATGAATGATAAGAAAGAAAAACAACCTTATTACTGATATGGAGAAAGTTTTACTGATCAGGATAGAAGATCAAACCAGTCATCATATTCCCTTAAGACAAAGCCTAACCCAGAGCAAGGCCTTAATGCTCTTCAATTCTGTGAAGGCTGACAGGTGAGGAAGCTGCAGAAAAAAAGTCTGAAGCTAGCAGAGGGTTGGTTCATGAGGTTTAAGGAAAGAAGCTGTCTCCATAACATAAAGTGCATGGGGAAGCAGAAAGTGTTAATGTAGAAGCTGAAGCAAGTTATTAAGAAGATCTAGCTAAGATCATTGATGAAGGTGGCTACACTAAACAACGGACTTTCAATGTAGACAAAACCTTCTATTAGAAGACTCCATCTAGGATTTTCATAGCTAGAGAGAAAAAGTCAATTCCTAACTTCAAAGCTTCAAAGAACAGGCTGGCTCTCTTGCTAGGAACTAATGCAGCTGGTGACTTCATGTTGAACCCAATGCTCATTTACCATTTGAAAAATCCTATGGCCCTTAAGAATTATGCTAAATCTACTCTACTCTGTAAATGGAACAACAAAGGCTGATGACAGCATATCTGTTCACGGCATGGTTGACTGAATATTTTAAGCCCACTTATGAGACCTACTGCTCAAAAAGATTATTTTCAAAATATTATTGCTTAGTGACAACACGTGGTCACCATGAGCTCTGATGGACAGGTACAAAGAGATTATTGTTTTCATGCTAACACAACTTCCATTCTGCAACCCATGGATGAAGGAGACACTGATTTTCAAGTCTTATTATTTAAGAAATACATTTTGTAAGGCTACAGCTACCATAGATAGTGATTCTTCTGATGGATCTGGGCAATGTAAATTGGAAACCTTCTGAAAAGGATTCACCATTTAGATGCAATTAAGAACATACATGACTCACGGGAGGAGGCCAAAATATCTACACTAACACGAGTTTGGAAGAAGCTGATTCCAAACCCTCACGGATGACTTTAAGGAGTTCAAGACTTCAGCAGAGGAAGTACAGATGTGGTAGGAATAGCAGAAGAACCAGAATTAGAAGTGGAGCCTGAAGATGTAACTGAATTGCTGCAATCCCATGATAAAACTTGAACAGATGAGTTGTTTTTAACGGATGAATAAAGAATGTCGTTTCTTGAGATGGAATCTATTCCTGCTGAAGATGCTGTGAACATTGTTGAAATGAGAACAAAGGAGTTAGAATATTACATAAACTTAATTGATAAAGCAGCAGCAAGGTTTGAGAAGATTAACTCCAATTCTGAAATGAGTTCTACTGTGGGTAAAATGCTATCAAACAGTATTGCATGCTACAGAGAAATCTGTCATGAAAAGAAGAAAGAATATGGCAAATTTCACTGTTACCTTATTTATAAGAAATTGCCACAGCCATCTCAAACTTCACTAACCACCACACTGATCAGGCAATAGCCATCAACATCAAGACAAGACCCTCCACTAGCAAAGATTATAACTCGTTGAGGGCTCAGATGATCATTAGCATTTTTTAGCAATATGGTATTTTTGTTTTCTGGGGTTTTGTTTTGGTGGCTGGCAGGTACAGGGATTAAACCCTGGACCTGGGTGTTATCAGCACCATACTCTAACCAACTGAGCAAACCGGCCAGCCCTTGCAATATGGTATTTTAAAATTAAGGTATGTTCACTGTTTTTTTAGACACAATGCTATTGCGCATTTAACAGACTACATTATAGTATAAACATAACTGTTATACGCACTGGGAAACCAAAAACTTTGTGTGACTCACTTTATTGCAGTGGTCGGGAACCAATCCTGCAGTATCTCCAAGGTATGCCTGTATGTGGAGTATACTAACATTTATAAAGCAAATGTATTTCACAGGGCCTAGTTTCCAAAGTCCTGTAGTTTTAGGTTTAACCTAACTTTTTAGAATTATGTATAGAAACGTTAACCTTGCAAAAGACAGGAAAATTTCCCCAGGCTAAAGTCTCTGTTGTGGATATAAAATTGTAACACAGCAAAATTGCTGGCTGTCAAGGACCGATGCCCTTGAGAGCAGGTTAACCTACCAATTGTTATGTAAAAATACCGAGGAAACTGCTGCAGGAAACCACAGTATTTGCTAAGAACAAGCTTTTGTTGGTGGATCAACTTAACCTTTTGCAAATTGCATTACGGAATGTCACTTTGCTTGTTTCAAGGATGCTACTAGTTTTCCATTTGTTAGCCATAATTCTGCTGATATCCTTGTGTTTTTGTAATGGTTAAATCAACTGAATTTTGTAAAACTTCCTTGTCTTTACAATAAAAGGGAGAGGCTAACTTTGGAGGTGGCTGACACATTCAGTTTTGCCCCTCCTAATGGACAAATTACTGAAGTGCAGTCCGTCCGGGCCTCAATGCATACATAGTGCTTGAATATTCCTGTAACTCTTTTCTTCGTATCCATTACACAGGGAAAAGAGGTGTAACAACTGTACATGCAATAAAATACACAATACTATTTTTTTTAGATATTAGATTTATACCTTAGATTAGTGGGTTAGAACTTATCTTATAAACTAATTTAGGAGATATGCTCTCTGTCCAAGTCTTGAAACAGCTTATTTGACTGATGTCAGAGACAACAAAATCTCAGAGTAAAGCTTTGGAACAGCATAGGCACGATCAAATGCATTGAGCTCATGATTACAAACCAGTAGAAGTGAAATGAATTCTAACCTGGGTTACCCTCCTCATCGTATTTATCTAAGTCGTACTCGGCCAGCTCATCATCATCTAGTGTCCTGTCATCCTCTGGGTCGCCATCCTCCAGGGGCTCCCTTGGTCGCGCCTGTGTGCGTGCACTCTGCATGCCATCTTCTGAAGGACTGCCTGTCTCTTCTTCGTCACTGCCACCTTCTCCTCTATGAGAATGAAAACAAAAAGGAAAAAAGGAAATCACCCAAATAGCACCTTCCAATAACAAGACTACCTAGTCATCACTATTTAAGATAATACATTTCATCTACAGATATCAACATTCCTAAACTTACTGTAATTTTTCTTTTGCTTCAGCAATGAGACGTTTTACTTCTTCTTTACTCAGCTCTACCTATAAGAGAGCAAATATTTCATTACAATATATTTAAGGAAATCACTAGAAGTCTTTGAATTAAAAAGAAGTTTGCAAACAAATGTAAAATAACTTCAAGAAACGTTATCAAGATAAGAATCAAACATTAATCCAGACTCTCTAAATTTAACGTAAATGGGAGTTTTTACAGGTCCTTACATTTAAGAGCCCATCCAACTTGAAAATGTTCAAAAATCATGCTCATTCTACTCTAACTCTTGGTCTTTAAAAAAGACTAATTTTTAAAAACTGGTTCTGTTGTAGTCCATTTGGTTTTCTTCCAACTATCTGTGACTCCTTCTAGAGCACCTCTCCCTCTCTTCTCTGTGGGCATTTCTTAACAAACCACCTTTGCATAGGTCCTCTGCTCTTTTCCCTATTATCACTGCCAAGTATTCACTCATCAGGTTCATCTCCAGGCAAAGCTCATTCATTCTCAAGACTAAAACCACCACCTCTGAACTGATTACTCCAATTTTCCCCTCACTAATCTTATACTCCAGTTCTAGTTTTCCAAGCGCCTATAAGACTTCCCACTTGGACAACTTTTATCCCAATATTCAAGTTCAAAACTGAAGTCTCTCTCTTTACTTCAAGACTGGCATTCCACCACTTAATCGATGCTTCAGTACCTTTAAAACACCCCTATTAATACTAAACTGTAAGCTCCTTGAAGACTAAAACTTACTTGTCACTGTATACCTAAGCACTCAATTCAGTTCTTGGGCCAATGTAGTGAGGCTTAATGATTGATAATGAATGAATCAATCAATCACCCAGTTTCTAATAAAATGCCTCTAGTAATATGGAAATCCTCTTGAGAATGACATTCCATTGTGGGACAGCTGCAGAAAGCAAAAGTTATTTCTTAAGTTTACTTAAAGGATATTTATTTGTCTAATTTCTCTTATTAGTTGGTGTTCTCCTTTCTGGGATTTCATAGAATAAATTCAATCTCTTCTTATAAACTCTTCAAACAGTGGCTTCCAAACTTGTGTGCACATTAGAATCACCTGAGGGATCTTTTAAAAATTTCAGGCTACACTCCAGACTAATTAAATCACAATACTGTACTTGGGAGCGGGGTACAGGCATCAGTATTTTCTGAAGCTCCCCCAAGTGTTTTCAGTGCATAGACCCTTCATTTGGAAATCACTGTCTTTAAGTATTTCTAAAGCTATATATTCCTTTTTAATAACAACTGTTTCCTTCTTCAATAATTTTTAATATAAGATAATTTTCTGTCCCCATTCTACAAATACTCACTGAGTGCCTATTGTAAGCCAAACGTTGGAGAAACAGTGGTGAATAAAACACAGTATGTGCCCTGGTGGAATTTACACCATCTGGGACTACTCTAATCTCTCATTCTTGTTGACTCCACATCCAAGCCACTCACATTCCTTATCTCTGTCATTTCTGGCCCAATTACATTGAAATCAAACCTCTCACTTCTTTTATAGCACTTCTTCCCACTGACATACTATATATGGACATGTCAAATCCATAATGGCAGAGAGTTTTTGTTTTGTTAATGCCTATCCCAGGACCCTAAACGATGCTTGGCCTGCATAAAGGACTTAGTACTTGATGAATAAATCACCTAAGTAATCTTCACCTCTACTACAGACTCAGTTTCCAACTCCTGTAGGTTTTTCCTTCATAATATATTACATTTACCTCTCATCCCCACTACCACCATCAACATCTCATCAACTCCCTGCCTCACGACATCGAAGTCTCCACACCAGTCTTTCTATACCACAGCTTTCAACCTTACTTTTCCTAACACGGAGCACAAGAGTGGAAAGAAGAGTTTTCACATATGTGCTCTCTTCCCAGTTATGCCTGAAAACGCACTGATTGGGCTGTGGTGTTGCCAAGAAGCCTTTTAGGGTATTTCCCATCCAAAGCAGCACCCCGCCCCCTTCCAGCCCGCGAGGTGCACGTGCGTGCGAATTGGGGGATGGGGTTGGACTAGGGGGGAGGGGCGGTGGCGATTCGCGGCCCCTGCTGCCCACGCCCAGGAGACCCAGAACCTTGGAGCCGCAGCTCCAGTCACAACAACCAGGCCAAAGCCGGCCTCATCGCGACCAGTCACACCAGCCTGGCCAAGGCCCCGTGTCCCGGGTCCAGGTTCGGCCAGGAAGGGCTGACCCGGCATGCCATAAAGAGGCCGCTACCCCCGTCTCCAAGCGACTAGGCCTCACCTTGTCTGGAGTCGCTTTGGCCACACCGCAGCGGACCCAGGCCACGCACGTCACTTGGCGGCTGCGATTCATGCTTCTCCGCTCAAGGACGTCTCAGGGCAGAGATTCGGTCGCAGTTGCAGGACCACGGCCGCACCGCCGCCCGCACGCTCGGGGATCCGCACGTTCGGGGATCCGCACGGAGCGGCTGTCCGGGCAAAGCGCAGGCGCGAGCGGTTGGTGCTGCAGCGGCGGCGCTCGCTTCTGACGTCACGCGGAGGCGCCGAGGGGGAGGGGGAGGGGAAGGGTTGGAGTGGGTGTGTCGGGGTGGGCCGTGTGGCGTCGAGGGAGGAAGAGGCTTTGGGGATTGTCCCGGTGCCTGCGGGCTTCGTGGAGGCATGAGTGAATGAATGAATGCATAAATAAATAAACCAATAGTAAGTAAATAATAAGTAAAACGGAACTGTGGGGTCAGTCCGAGGCAGAGTTCCACGAATCTTTATTTTGCTTGCAGTTCCATAGACTTCAAGCTGACAGATGGTAGAGGTTTGTGGGTTTATTTTTGTTTTGTTTTAAAGCTTTCTCCTAAATGAATCTGTCGTTTCAAGGAGATTCTGCCGTTATATTTCATTACATTCTTTTTTTTTTTTTTTTTTTTTTAAAGATGACTGGTAAGGGGATCTTAATCCTTGACTTGGTGTTGTCAGCACCACGCTCAACCTTTGAGCTAACCGGTCATCCCTATGTAGGGATGCGAACCCGTGGCCTTGGTGTTCTCAGCACCGCACTCTCCCGAGTGAGCAACAGGCCGGCCCCTTCATTACATTCTTGAATGTGACTTTCTCATCTTAAAGCATTTCACACCTATTAAATACTAAGTATATGGTAATGATTTGTAGCATTACCGAAGTGCTTGTTATGTTGGAGGCACCGTTTTTTTTTTTAAGTGGCTTATGTGAACTTGGTTACTGGAGGTATTATCTCTGTTTTACACGTGGGGAAACATCAGTGATCTTTCCCAAGGCCACACCGCTGGTAAGTGGTGTAGCTAGCGTATGAACCCAGGCGGTGTAACTCCAGATTCCTGGCTATTATCTATGTTATGCTTCTCAGCTAAGGTCACAGTCATCTATTAGAAACCGTCAGTGGCAGGGGGACTTTAGAATGGAATGTCTTAAACAAGCATCCCAGAAAGATCTGGGGTTTGATCTCTTTCTTGGTCGAGTGACCCTGTCTGGGTCATTTGCCCTCTCTGATCTTCGATGTGTCTATCCTGCTTCTGAGACAAGCAAGCAAAAGGAACAGGAGAGTGGCTGCTCTGGAGGAAAAGTGGTGGCAAAGGTAATCTGGCAGTATATAGTCCTCCCCAGTTTCCTTGTGAAAAAGGGGATGTTCGCCTATGGGATCAATTTGTGGGCTTTTTTCGACAATTTTATTTTCACGTACAGTATTTTACTTGGTTCTCACAACACTTATAAAACACGATCAAGAACTACCTCCATTTTAAAGATGAGCAAGTTAGAGGTCCCAGTGATGAAATGCCTTACCACCCTGAGATTGTAGACATATTAGAAGTTGATAGAACTACTACTAGTTCTGTCATCAACTCTCTATACCCAGCCTAATGCCCTTGGCACCCTACCAGCCCGAGGAGGGATCCTCTCAAGAGTAATTGCTCATTGGTTGGGTAGGCAGATTATACATTCAGTAAATCCTCTCCCAGTGCTCTCTTTCTCTAAATTGATTCTTCTGTGGTTTCTTTGCTTTTGGTCCATTTAGAAAGGTAGTATGGCAGACTGTGTATTTCAAAGATGACTGCAACAATATCTTCCTGTACATATGTTTTTCTACAACGTGGTCCTGCTACTCCTCTATTAAAACATGGAGTCTCATTCTACCCACCCCCAACCGTGAATCTGGGTAGGCTTGTGACTGCTTTGACCAGTAGAGTATTACAGAAGTGACGTTTCCAAGGTTAGGTCATAAATGGGAAGCAGGTTTTGCTTTCTTCTTTCTTTCTCTCTCTTTTTTTCCCTCTGGAACATTCATGTTTGGAGCCCTGAGCTACCATAAAAAGTTTGACTGCCCTGAGGCCACCCTGCTATGAGGAAGCCAAACCACATGGAGAGGCCACTTGCGAGTGTTCCAGTAGACAGTCCTAGTTTTCGAGTTAATCCAGATGTGTAAATGAAAGAGCCTTCAGATCCCAGACATTGATTACCCCCCGGTCTTTGAGTTTTCCCAGCTGAGACCCAGGCACTGTGGAGCAGAGACAAGACATCCCCACTGTGTACTGCCCAAAGTTCCGACCCCATGAGCTTAGTAAAATGGTTGTTTTAAAATCAGTAGGTTTCTTTTTTATCTTTCCATTTTTTTATTATGGTAAAATATATAGGACATAAAATTTACCATTTTACCATAAATTTTGAGGTCATTTTTTAATGCAGCAATACTAATAAGCAGGGGAGAACTTGTGTCATGTTTAGAATAGAGCACATGAACTGATTTATTATTAGACACTCATTTATTAACATCTGGCTAGGCTTGGTCAGGTGGGCTCACCTGTTATACAGTAGTGGGCTTGTGTTTGAGTATTTGACTCTGGGTCTGTTTCCTCTGGGGTTGTCCTCTTATGAGCCAGCTACTGCTCCCTTATGGCCCAGTTCCTGTCTGATTTGCTGCTGCACCCAACACAGTGCCTGGTACAGAGTGGGAGTTTGATAAATATGAGAGTACTTTAAGAAGTTCGTGGAAAAATAGAATTAAAAGACAATACAAATCTTTCCCTGAACTTTTTGAAGTACCTTTGTATTTGTTAAATGAATGAATAAATTAAAGAATAGAAGGTGGGCTAGGACTCTGGTTATTTGGGGCCTGCTAAACTTACCTTCTTTTGCTGAAATTATTTCTGACATTCTGCCATTTCAGCCCAAGCTGTGAATTGACTTTAAAAATGAAAACCCAACTGCAGCTGGCATTATTAGTTCCTTATAACAAGAACTGAAAGAGATAGAGCTTAAGTAGTTCTGTTTCTAAGCTCGATTCTTAGGAACTGATGAGCATTTTAATTCAGAAAAGTCTCTTTGCTAGAGGCCAGAAAAAAATGTACTTGGTGGCATGTTGGCTATTCTTAGAGTTAAAGGTCCCAGAGGATTGAACCCAGGCCTGTGCCAGGCTCTTGTTACACCCTCTAGCTCAGTGCCGTATGTATTTAGGCTCATAGACATTATTTCTAATTGGCCTTGAGTGCTGGGAAGGAAGTGAAGTCTGTTGTATCCTCCTCCCCTGTAATACTAGGTTGTTTCTTGCCCCTCCTCTAACTAACTCTACAATATTAGCCAATAAGGAGGTGAAGGAATAATAATAGCTACTAGTTACTAAGTGCTTATACCAGGAACAGATTTTCCAGTTACAAAATTAGGTGAACAAAAACGAAACTTTATTTTTCACTTCAGTGTTTATCTTAAAGTGAAGTTTCAATCTCATACTTTCCAACTCAACTTCTACATTGGTTTTCTGCTCCAGTCTTTCTCCAGATGACCAGGTGTGTGGTACCAGGGTTACAATCCCATATGCAGGGCTGTAGCAATGTGAACAAGAAGGAAGGAGGGCAGAGGGGTGACTGGGAACCAGATAGGTGCAGTCTTGCTGTTGGTGGTAAGGAAGGCATGGGGCTGTGAGCAGGAGCACAGGATGATCAATGACATGATCTGACTTACGTTTCAGGACATTCGAGTACCTGTGTGTAGAATGTATGGCTGCCAGGAGGGGAATGAATGTGGGGAGAACTATGAGGAGGCCACTGCAGTAATCTAGGGAGAGATGATGTTGACTTGGACTAACATGTTGGCTGGCTGTGGGATCGAGGAAAGTGGGGAAAGATGCCATCCCCTGATGGGAAGGTCTGTAACAAATTTGTGGCTATATTTAATCTACCATAGATGAGAAGTCTGAGGCCCAGAAAAAGGAAGTGACTGATCTAAGACCACTCATAAATACCAAGATGGGGGATGGAGCCTGGGTTTTCCAACTTCAGTCCTGCATGGTTCCTTCCCCACCCATGCAGCCTCTTTTGGAAGGAAGATAGGAATGCATGCCCAGGGAAGGGTGAAGGTTTTCACCAAAGCCCCAGATACAATGACATCCTTGCCTTCCCAAACCCCACCTTGACGGCGTTAACAGAGCTTTCTGAAAGGACAGGGAAATGAACCAAGTTGTTCACAAGAAGCAGAGGAAGGATGGGTTGGGCAAGGTTTTTAATCCCCACCCCCCCTTCATGATGCCAGAGGAGAAAGGACTGGAATTTAATTCAAAGGATCCTGAGCATGGTTTCTGGGCTCCTCCAGCCATGCATTGGCAAATGTCAATCACCACACAGGTCAGGCTGAGTGGACACCGGCCACATGTTTGTCTTCTCCACTACATAGACTGTGTCTTATCCATCTTAGCATTCCCAGGGTCTAGCAGAGAGTTCATGCCACATAAACATTTGCAGAAGGAATGGAGGAATGACGACATCTCTGGACTCCTCTTAAGGATAGAACCAGGTAGCTGTTGCATGGCTATGAGATTCATTACAGAAGCAGATAATAATTACTGTATTCATAAGTACAGGGTATGTTGTCGTATCTCCATGCCTGGCACAAAGTAGGTTCTCAGTAAATACTTACTGAATGAATGGATGGGTGAGTGAATGAGTGAAACTTCTCAATCCATCACTTATGAGCCAGACTCATGCTCTTCACTAGGAAAAACTTGGGAACCTCTGAATGCAGAAATGTCGCTCCACCTAGTGGACAATCCAGTATTATGCCTGAATCTTGAACATTTTCCCCAACTTCTTTTGTTCTGTGACTTCTCCAATTGCTATTCCTCCTGTTACCCACTTTGACACAGACCACCGAGGATGGCAGCATGGTCTTGCAGGTGAGCAGAAGCCTACCTGGATCCCTGAAATGGGCAATTTGAGAAAGATGTTAGGGGACAAAGAAGACTACATAAGATGAATTGGCTTTGAGCTGCTGCTGTTGTGCCTGTGTTTCCCTGGGCTGGTTCTCAGATCCAAACATAGCCTCTCTTAAAGAGGACCAGTAAGGGGATCTTAACTCTTGGCTTGGTGTTGTCAGCACCACGCTCAGCCAGTGAGCCAACTGCCAACATAGCCTCTCTTGACATGTGGGGACCACCATGGCCATGTTACAGCCG